CAAAATAAGTTAACCCTTGACACTATTAACGATACTCTGCTATACCTTCAGAGTGGTCCCTAACATAGCTGCCCTCCAAGTGGCTCCGCCCAGCACCTGATGGAAGCAGATGCAGAGACCCACAGCCAAACATTGGGTGGAGCACAGGGAATCTTGTGGAATAGTCGGGGGAAGGATAAAAGGGCCCAGAGGAGACAGGAGCTCCAGAAGAGTCAACCAGAGCAAAGGGGGCCCTGTGGAGACGGAAGCACCAACGAAGGACTGTGCCTGGGGTGGAGCTTGGTCCTCTAAACAGATGGGCAGCCCGGATCCTAGTGAGGGCAATGAGGACTAAATCAGACATGGACTCTGCTGCCTGCTTTTTGATCACTTTCCCTGGTGGGGCTACCTCACCAGGTCACAGGGGAATGGATGCACTCAGTTCTGATGCAACTGATTTGCTGGGGTGGGTGGGTTGGGGCCCCCCTTCTCTGAGGAGTAGGGCGAACAGGGAGGGAGGGTGGACTGGGAGAAGAGGAGGGAGGAGGCTACAACCAGGATGTAAACTGAATAAATAAAAAATTAAAAACAAGTGGTTGATGTATGTGTAATACAGCAAAGACTGGGCTATGCAGCTCACAAGTCCATACACTTCCTTTTTATACCTTCTTTTTTTTAAGATTAATTTATTTATTATGTATTTAATGTTCTGCCTGCATACCAGAAGAGGCACCAGATCTCATTATAGATGGTTGGGAGCCACCAGGTGGGTGCTGGGAATTGAACTCAGGACCTTGGGAAGAACAGTCATCACTCTTAACCTCTGAGCCATCTCTCCAGCCCCTATACTTTCATTTTTAACCCTGTGAAAATATTATCTTTGGAGGAGACATGTTTGTTGTTTAGACAGGATCTCAGTGTGCAGACCAGGAAGGCCTTGAACTCAGTGAACGGTCTGCCTCTGCCTCCAAGTCCTGGGACTGAAGGTGTGCGACATCAGCAGGAGAAACAATTTGAGCACATTTGTTTGGTTGCTTTGTTTTGTTATGTTTTTAGTAGAGAGGGTTGGGTTTTCAAGACAGGGTTTCTTCAAGACAGGGTGTCTCCGTGTTGCCCTGGCTGTCCTGGAATTCACTTTGTAGACCAGGCTGGCCTCAAACTCAGAGACCTGCCTTCCTCTGCCTCCCAAGCACTGAGAAGAGGGCATTTGGATCTCCTGGGACTGGAGTTACAGACTGTCGTGAGCTGCCATGTGGGTGCAAGGTGCTGACCCTGGCCCTCTCCCAGAGCCTCTGCTCAGCCCCTAAGTACATATTTTATCTGTATTTACATTATTTATATTGTTTTCGCTGCAAGCACGCCTCTATGTTCTAAGTTAAGCACAAAGCCAACTTAGATTATTTCTTCAGTTACTTTAATCGACTTAGCAAAAATCCAGAGCTGTACATATTGCCTTCTGTTTGGTTGGTTTTGTCTTTTTGAGGCAGGGTTTCTCTGTGTAGCCTTGGCTGTCCTGGAACTTGCTCTGTAGACCAGGCTGGCCTCGAACTCAGATCTGCCTCCCCCTTAAGTGCTAGGAATAAAGGCGTATGCCACCACCACCTGGCTGTACACTCACATTTTAAACTAGATCACACCAGATTATCCTACAAATTGAAGATGTAACTCAAGAAACAGGGTGCTGTTTTGAGGGGCTGAGTTAGAGAACTCGCAGTTTAGGGGGGGTTGTGTTAGCAGTGCAGCTGCTTGGCTGCAGGCTATTAACTCCTGTTTCTGGGAGGTTAAGGCACAAGAATTACAAATTCAAGGCCTGCCTGTACATACTTTCATACATATATTCATACACACATACATTCATACATGCACACATACACACACACATACATTCGTATATGCATTCATCCATTCATACACAATTCATATATACATTTATACATACAAACATATGTACATACATACATACATACATACATAGAGTAAGGCAAACCTGAACAGTTTAGCAAGACCTTGTCTCAAACTCGAGTGAATTGAAGATCTAGGCTGATGATAGATCACTTGCTTAACATTGAGGAGGCCTTTGATCTCGTCCCCTCTAACAAACACATGCAGTCAATATTACAGCCTAAAGGTAAAATAAGATCCATGAGGCCATAATGATATTGATAAATGCTAACTAGGTGGGCAGAGTCAAATTCCCTATGAGAAAGAAGGTCGTACTCTGGAGGGGAGTTTTCCATCCTCAGGGAAGATGGAAAAGATCCTCCACTGCTTAGTGTACGCAGAGACTTCCAAAAAGTGCAGTACAAAACCAGGAAATGGAAGCTGCCCTAGAGATGCAAACTGACTCAGGTGGCCAAGCCACCAAGCCAGCAGCACACGCTGGTGTGACACAGTGAAGTGGCACCTTGCCCTCAGAGAGGAAAACACCATTCCAGCCACCTGAATCTTCAAAATGGCCAGTCATGGAAGCAAGACTCTGAATGCACCTCGGCCTAGAGAGACCCCAGCAGATGTGGAATCCTGGGTGTTACCGTGGGTGAGGCCGTTAGCTTCTGTGCATGTGAGTGTGGGTGGCCTGCAGAGGCTGCTGAGCCCCGGGAGCTGGAGTTACAGGTAGCCAAGAGCTACCCAACATGGGTGCTGGGAAACTAAACCAGGCCTCTGTAAGAGTGTCAAGCACTTTCTAAATACACAGCTTTATTTAGATGTATTTTATATGTATGTATGTATGTGTATGTACCATGTGTGTGACTGGTGCCTATGGAAGTCAGAAGAATATAATAAAACTCAGTTACATTATTTTTCATTCTCCCTTTTACACTCCCTACTGGTTCTCACAAAGTCATGGCCTCCTTTTTAAAAACAATGATTTTTTTTTTTTTTTTTGTTGCAAGTGGCTAAGAAAGTGCCGGAGCCCGCCAGCAGGGTCAAATGGTTCTTGAGTTGGGAGTGAGGACTAAAATTAATAAACTAACACACAACACATGGGACCTTTCTGAGAGTTTCTAGTGGAGAGTAGACTGGACCAGCCGCCTGGCTTTGTTTCAGACTGCCTTTAAGCCAGAATAAAAACAGCTCAGAACAATGGGTTAAATTTACAAGGAGGTGAAACAAGAGGTGTGATTTTGACAAGCTATCCCACCTGCTGTCTCAAACAAAAGGAGATGGACTTGGAAATTCTTCCCTGACTTCAGTGAAGGCCTGGTAAAACCAGTCTTTCCGTTGAGATTTAAATATCGAAGCAGCTGCCCGAACAGCGGCTCCCAAAAAGAAAGGGCATGCAGTTCCCCAGAACTGGAGCAGTAGCCAGTCGTGAGCCACTATATAGGTGCTAGGAACTAAACCTGGGTGCTCTTAACAGCCGGTTTGTCTCTGAATTCCAGGCCTCCTCCTCTTTAACCATTGTTGCTATACAAACAAACCAATAAACACAATACAGCCTGCTGAGGTGCTTGTATGCATGTGTTTTCAGAGCTGACCCGGGTTCCAGTCCCAGCACCGGGCATCGGGCGGCTCAGTCCCCTGTAACTTCACCCACAGTCCTGTTCTCAGATAAACGCATGCATGCGGTGCACGCATGGCAAGCAAGCACACATAAAGTAAATCATTAAAAAGGCAAAACCCAGCATGATGTAGTGGAACACACTTCAGTCCCGGCACTCAGGTCGAGGTGGGGGGGGGGGGTCACTGTGAGATCAAGGCCAGCCTGGTCTACAAAACAAGCTCCAGAATAGCGACGGCATCACAGAAAATCCCTGTGTGTGTGTGCGGGGGGGGGGGGGGGGCATGACCCACAGGTGGCTCTTTCCGCTTGAAGGACAGCAGGACTATGAGGACGTCAAGAAAGGAGTAACATGCTAAGCAGCCAATGGTTGGCCCAATAGGAACAGCCTAGAACACAGGTGTCTTGTTTCCTGAGGAGCCCTGTCCTATGTCACCTTGCATTTGGCTTTTCTTTGCACATTTCTAATGTCTGCCTCAAATTGACGGACTCAAGGAAATGGCTTGCGCTTGTTGAGGAAGAGCACGCTCATTCCCATCCTGGACGTCGAGGCAACTGCTGTGTCGCCTTAATCAGCATCAGGAGTTGAAGCACCCTGAGCTCTGGCTCACTGGACAGAGTCCCACACTGCACAGCAACACAGGAGTGGTCTGCTGCGCCCACGCCCCCGCCTCCTGGGCGCTGGCATCGCCACACCCAGCTCTACCCCACTTCAAACGCTGAGGTGATTTTCTTCTGATAGATATGGTCTTACCATTATTGGTTTTTCTAGACAAGGTTTCTCTGTGTAGCATTGGCTATCTTGGAAGTTACGCTGTAGACCAGGCTGGCCTCCAACTCAGAGATCTGCCTGCCTCTGCCTCCTGAGTGCGCCACTGCCACCACCACCAGTTTATGGTTGTTTTTAAAAAGCTTTATTAGTTCTGTGTCTGAACATTTCACCAGTATGTGTATCTGTGGAAGGTGTCAGCCACAAAGTGGGTGCTCCAGAAGGGCAGCAAGTGCTGGGAATGGCTGAGCCATTATCTCCAGGCCCTTGGTATAAATGGTATTTTATTTAGAAAACAATAATATAAAGAGAGATGGGAATTAATGAAACAATGTGAATACGGCATCGCAACAGACAAAAGATGAGAGAACACAGTCAAACAGAACTGGAAGAAGTAGTTTGTTTTGTGAGTTCAGTGAATTATCACATGTGCTCAGTTATCACTGCTCACTCATTGGTTCCTTGACATAATTTCCCTTGATAGACAAAGGGTTTATAAAAGGCAGAGATTTCAGCCAGACATGGCAGTGGATGCCTTTAATCCCCGCACTGGGAGACTAGCAGATCCTGTTTTGAGGCCAGCCAGAGCTATATAGAACAGGAAGGGGAGATGCATCTTTGACATTTATTTTCTAATTTTGAAACTGATGTGATGTCATAGGTTTCCAATATTTTATTTACTTCTCTATTATGTGGAAACAGTTGAAATGTGAAATACGCAATCATGTATCTGTTAAAAAGTTCGGTGTGGAGATGTCATAATTTCAGGTCCTTCTGGACATTCCAGAGGGTTTCTGCACTCTTCCTGAGAAGGGTCACCTCCTCAGGGTTCAAGTTCACCTTCACAATGTCAGTAACACCATTTCGTCCCAAGATACACGGGACACTGAGGAAGATCTCTTCCTTTATCCCGTATAAGCCCTGAGACACAAGGTCACATCATTAGTTGGTTTCCTTGCAACTGTGCAAGAGATCTTGAGAATAAAAATGCCCAGCAGAGCTAGGCACAAGGCAGTGAGCTGGGCGAGCTGAGGGCCCTCTTTATCCTGGACCATGAGCCTAAGGTCTTCAAGGGGACCAGGGAAAGACAAAATCCCCTTCATCCCTCAACAGATCATCTTGATGTCTAAAGGGTTAGCTGTCTTCATGTGAGCTTCCTACCTGGCCAGCACACTAGGGCACAGTGAAGGCTAAGGTAGCTGGTGACCGGGAGCCTGTACTTCATACCTTTAACAAGGGCGCTACCTGAACCACTTGGACACCAGTTGCTACACATGAGTTTCTCAAGCATGAAGAGGTGAAGCCCCGGAGGAGCTGGGGGTTACTCTAACACGCCCAGGTTAGTATGTGAGGATAAGAGCTTGGGTTGTAAAAAAAAAAAAAAAAAAAAAAGACCTTGGGTTGTATCTCTGCTCTTCTGGACCCCTAAACTGCTACCTTTCCTGGAATTGCACCCTGGGACTCCCAGGCTGTACAGAGATATGAGACCTGCAGCCACTTACAGTGCTCAGCCGTGGAACTCTCGCCAGTGACCCAACAGTCTTTCCACTTTCATAGCCAAAGCCAAGGCTACAGAAACGGCTGTGAGACATTAAGTGGGGCAGCCCAATGATCCTATCTGCCTGCACAGGCCAGCATCTGCTGCTCCACACCAACTGTCACACCAGTGCCCCTGGGGGTGAAGACACCCAGTGACCTCTCCCCATCTGCCCGCCCCTTCCCCCTCATCCCTGCATGGCCGAGGCTGGGTTTGTGGCAAGGCAATGGAAGAGCTTTGATCGGATGTGTCATGTATGAACACTGAGGGTCAGGAGAGGTCTCTAGATTCTGCCAGTGCATCGCAACTCCTCATACATGCCCACAGCCTCGTGCCCTCTGCAGCTCCCCACTCCCGAGTTCTTCCCATACTTCCTCCCACAGGAACCACCCTGCCACCTGCCTCTCTGAGGTGACCTCCACTCGACCTTACCAGTGGCCAGGGAAGGTGAATGAACATTTCCTCCAGCATACCTTAACCAGCGTCGACACTGGGTGCACCCTCCTTAGGTTCTTCAGCATCGACCCGGCCAGGTCTGTCACAGACAGCCCAATCGCCCAGGAGGTGTAGCCCTTGAGCCGAAGGACCTCATAGCCACTGCAATTGCACAAGGAAGAAAATCGAATTCATGCGCTGTCAACTCCAAGACACACTGCTGCTCACACACCCTTCCGAAGCACCCATGTGTCTGTGCCATGCTACTGACATTTCCTCGAGTTCCTCTAGAGGTGTTTACGAGCTTATAATCTTTAAAGTAGGCCTGCGCCACACATGGTGGTCATAGGTGAGTTCCGACACAGCCTGGTCCACATAGTAAGTTCTGGGCCAACCAGAGATACAGTATGATCCTATCCCAAATAAATAAGTCTCATAAAATGTCATCATTCACTCTGATGTAGTAAATACCTGAGAGGAGAGTTGGGCTATGTAATGTTTATTATTAGCCCTAAGATTGTCACGGCGGTATCATCTAACCCGCTACCACAAATAATAAGCCACAGAACCTGTTACATTTATAATTGCCTTATTTCCCTTGGGCGGGGCAGTTAGTTCACTTACACTGTCTCAATATCCTCACCATCCATCTCCCAGCCCCATCCAGTGCCGTCTGCCTTAATCCTCATCTGGTCTACCTTCCATCCAGAATTCCATGGTACTTGCTTTTAGTTTTCATCTGGGCCTTTTCATGCCATTATTGGAGTCCTTTCTCCCGGCCCCATGTGGCTTTTTTCTACAGGCTAACCCACCCTGGCCTCCTCCTCCTTCCTCCCTTCCAGTCCACCTGTCTCCCGTGATTCTCTCTGAAGCTGGAAACCTTTGCCACGCCTACCCTATTCTGTCCTGCCCAGGTAGAGGCCATTTAATGATTCAATCAGGTGTAACATTTTAGGCAGGTTTAAACAAACAAGGATGAGTGTATCGGGCTGGCAGAAACCAGATCTTTCGTAATTAGCCAGTAATTAGCATTAGGCCAACCTCCAACTTCACTTTAAAGAAGTGACTCACTGCTGGGCATGGCAGCAAATGCCTTTAATCCCAGCACTCCAGAGGAAAAGGCAGGCAGATCTCGGAGTTGTAGAGCAGCCCAATCCACACAGGGAGACATTGTCTCAAAACAAAGAACAAAAAAAGAGTCAGTTCTTATTTTATCATCAAGTCAGAATGCTAGGACATATGCACCACAAGGTGGAATTAACTTTTAATATTTTATTGCTGCTTAACTATATAAGCACAGCTTCTGATTACCTTGAAAGTCACTATAGACAGCTCTCTGACCATAGACAATTCCTGGTACAGGCCTGGTGTGGTGGTACATACTTTCAATCCCAACACTTAGGTGGCTGGAGATGGAAAATCTGAGTGAGGGCCAGCCTGGACTATATACTAATGCCCTGTCTCAGATATACACACACATATATGAAATGGGTTAAGTTCATCAGGGAAACGCAGGAGAAAATGCACCAAAGTAAAAGCTCAAGGTCTAGAGAGGTGCCGCAGACAAACTGCCAGCAGCGGGACCGCTCAGGCCTCATGGGCTGACAGGCTGGTAGACACCAGGGTGACCCTGGAAGCCAAGAACAGCTCCAGCTGTTCTGTAGGAAACATTTAGTTTTTTTTCATTTTTATTTGTTGATTCTACGCACATGGGTGTTTGCCTGCGTGTATGTCTGTGTACCACACGTGTGCCTGGTTCCCACAGAAGCCAGAAGAGGGCAGCAGATCTCCTGGGACTGGTGTTAAGATGGCTGTAAGCCACCACGTAGTGCTGGGAATCCAACCCAGGTCCTCTGGAAGAGCAGCCAGCACGCTCAACCACTGAGCCCAGCTCTCCAGCCAACTGCAAAATTTGTTGGTTTTTGTTTGCTTGTTTTTTGTTTGGTTGGTTGGTTTTGGTTTCTGAGACAAGGTTTCCCCGTGTAGCGTTGCTGGAACTCCCTCTATGGATGAGGCTGGTCTTGAACTCACAGAGCTCAGCCTGCCTCTGGCTCCCAAGGGCTGGAATTAAAGTTGTGGGCCACCGCCAGGAGCAAAATGTATTCTCAATACTGATCATTAGGGAGCTGAAAAATCACGCAACGGCTGTTACCTTTCCACCACCTGCTTGTGGACCTTTTTCCACTGTTCCTTGTCTGAGTCAGTTCCTAAAGCTGGGTTCAGCGACTTCAGCGGCACGCCAGCGACATTCACGCCACTCCACAGGGGCACTGAAGAAACAAAAAGTCACCTCTCGCTTGAGCGTCTCTTCCAAGACTGTGTCAGTCGCTTGTAATGGAAGTCTGGGTTTCTTTTAAAACTTAGTTATTTTACATAAATATCTATTTGTTTTAATCCCAACTGTGGGATTTTAGTTTGGGCTTTAGTTTGTCCACAACTGATAACTGCCTCCTGCAGGGCGTGGACTTGCCAGCTGGTAACAGCCTGCCTCTGGCAGCATGGAGAAGTTCTAGGACTCTGAGGAATATAAATAGGAGAGCCCAGAAAGAGAAGGTGTGGCAGCTTGGAGGTGATGAAAAGAGACGTTTCATGGTGGCTTGGAGAAAACTGCTTGCTGTGTCAGCTGTTGACAGAGGTTGGTGTATCCCCAAAAGAACCCATCCACCCTAGACATCCAGGAGAAGTCAAGGGGTCTGCGCCCCCTCTCCCCACCCCAAAGAACCCATACACTCTAAACAGCCAGAAGTCAAGGGGTCTGTGCCCCCTCTCCCCACCCCAAAGAACCCAT